ATCAATAAGGGTCTTCCAGTGCCAATGGAAGTCCCACAGCATCAACAGGGGTCTTCCAGTGCCAATGGGGGTCCCACAGCACCAGTGGGAGCCCCATGCCATCCAATCACAGTCCCACGGGGATCAGAGGACCCTAGGGGATGGTGTGCAGAGCATCCTGCCCTAGAAACCCACACACCCCTCCAAATGGGGGGCGCTCACCAGCCCCACCATGTTATTAATATCCCTGAAGTTCATGATTACCCCGTCAGCAACTGAGCTTTTCTGACAAAGTTGCACCTGTTCTGCTCAGCACAGGTAGCAGAAAGCTGTGCTTTCCTGCTGAACGCCAGGCTGGTGATTAATAATTAGGGCAGAGATCAACCACCCAGCACCACGCTGAGCTCCCAGCACATCCTCTTTACATATTTGCTCACCGCCGACTGCTCGGAGCAGACACCAGCATCCCTGCAAACTGGGGAGCAAGGAAGAAAAATGGAGCTTGGGCTCAAGGGGCCGTACAGATTGATTTACAAGGGAAGATTAAAAGACCTAAATCTGTGCTGCTTGGCTAAACAACAACTAATGGGGGAGGGCTGGAAAACTGACTGTAGACATCAGGGGGAATGCTGCAGAGCAGATCCCAAGGCGCTCCCACAGCATTGCTGCACCTTTCCTGGGAGCTGTGGGCTGTGCTGTGTGCCATGGGACCCCTCCAAGGGGACCCCCCTGTGCTCACTGCAGGGACAGCAGTGCCACAGCCACCAGCACACCCACGGGTCCAATTGCACCCATTTGTTCTATGGGAAAACAGTTCCCTCGTCCCAAAGAGCTGAACCCAGGAATTTCACAGAGCCATTAATTACTTGCTAATAATTAAATCGAAATTAAATGTGAACAGAGGTGCACATTCCTTATTAAAAGCGATTAAACAGAAAGCACAGATACACAAATAAAAAATGACTCTGGGGCTGGAAAAGAAAGAAAATCAAATAAAAACTAGCCCATAATAAAGGCACACTTTGTTTGCTCCAACTCATAAAGCCTGAGTTCATCAATTTTCTTTAAATATTAGCAACTTAATTAAATCTGCTTTTTTTCCCCTTTAATCCTCCCCTCTATCTAAAATAGATCTGTCCACATGCAGAAGTTTGTAACTACTGCTGACCCATAATTCTATTTAAAAAAAAAAAAATAAAACAAAGAAATCCACATCAAACTGACAGCGGCCTCAGGGGAAATTACAGTTCAGAGGAAGGATTAGCTGGAGAACCCAGATTTCAGGGAAACGGTATCAGCCTTTGGAAGAGCACACGAGGTGTGCGAGGAGCATCCATGGAGGGCGCATCCCATGGGCACTGCGAGCTCCCAGCACTGCCTCCCCACCGGGCATCAGTGTCTCCCATCCGTGGGTTCTGGATGCCTTCAGCCCCAGGGAGCATCACCAAAAGGGAATTGTTTTCAGCACAGCTCGGCTGCTTGTGCAGGGTGGGTGATGCATTGAATGATGTGAAAGGGGCTGTAAAATGGGTTAGTTTTAGGTTCCCGGGTTCATTTTGGAGATGAGGCTGTTGCTAGGCTACCTCTGGAGTTTGACAGGGCCTGATGCTTCGAGTCACCTCCCAGGGGAGCTGTGAATTAACTGTAACCGCATCGAGCGTCGCGGCGGAGGAGTGCGGCTTTCGAGTGTCTGCTGAAATGGACACAAATCACCGCTGAAATTCCACCTGGCCTCCAGCCAAAAAGCCCATTTTCGAGCCTCCTCCAGACTCATAACCAGACAGCCGAAGCCATCACACAGCCCTGCTGCATGGACTCTTGCTTGGGTGTTTTCCTTTCAGGGAGAGTCCGTGCCCCCATAGGAGCAGCTCTCCCCTGGGCTGGGCCCAGCTGCTCTTTCATTAGTACACAGATGACATCCTTCCAGCACCTGGGAGCCTCGGGACACCCTACAGCAGAGCTATCAGAGAAGGACAAAGCACAGCAACCCCAAGGCAGACAGCCTCAGGAAGCCAGGGGGCCACTGCGTGTGCCCATCCCAGCAGTTCTGGCACTGGCGTCAGTGAGGTGGCACAGTGCAGATCCCAGACAGTGCCGCACAGCACCTGCATGCCAGGCACACCTCTGGCAAGCTCTGTACCCATTGCTGGCCCTCAGAGCCCCTGCATGCCTGCACTGAGCTCCTTCTGCACCTCACTGTGCAGGTCAGCCTGAGATGCCTCAGCCCCACACCAACCTCACCCTAGCCACAGGATTTCCACGCCACGACCACAGCAGGGCACCCACTTTGCCAGCCCCGGTCTGCTCAGATGATTAGCATGGAAACAGCTGCAGCTCACAGGTCCAACAGCACAGTCCTTCCAGAGCCAGCAGGGAGACTCAGGGAGGGGCAAGGAAATGCACCCAGCACACCATCCCCATGCTGAAAGAGCTACAGGACAGGGAATTGACCATCCTGAGCAGGTCAAGGCTATGCTGTTTGCAGCAGCCTCTGGGGGCAGGAAGGCCCTGGGTGCTCCATCAGCACTGCAGCATGCAGATAAGGCAGAGTAGAGTAAGCAGGTGCTCACCCCACTGGCCTGCCCTCCCAGAGATGAGGCTGAGCTTTCCCTGCTGCCTTTGTGACACCCAGCACTGCATCCCTCCTCACACTCGTGGGAACTTCGCACAAAAGAGGGAGATGACAGATACGGATTTGGGTGCGTTCCTTCCCCAGGTCCATGGCAGAACATTAAACCCACCCAGGAAAGAACCAGGCTCATGCTATCCCAGTCCACCCCCTGGCTGCTGCTCTAACAGCGTCCCTTCACCTCACCAGGCTCAGCCATGCTGCAGCATGCCCCGTTCTGCACAGGCTCGGCCAGCCCCAGGGAGACGCAGGGTTGCCTTACCTTCCCCACGTACAGTGGCTCTGTGCCCGTGTACTCCTCCACCACAAAGAATTGGTTCCAGACCCAGCCACGCTTCACTCGCCCGCTGGCCAGCAGTGTGGGATCCCCTGGCTGCCCCAGGTCAGGACCCTCTGCCGCAGTGTGCACGGCCCAGGCCCCCAGCTCCTGGATGGCACAGAGCAGCAGCAGCATGGTCCAGCAGCAGCCCTGCAGACCCTTTGCCATCGCACTCTAGGAGGCTGCATGAGCTGCAGATTTTGGACAGGCAATTGGCATCCTTATGGGGTGAGTAGGAGTAAAGTCAACATTGGCAGCGTGGGATTCACTGGTCACTGCAGTGTCCCCATCCCTGCAGCATGCCACATCCTGCAGCTGGACACCTCCTGTTCCAGCTGGATGCAGTCTTGTCTGCAACTACAGGAGTCCCGGGCCTCCTCCTGCCGCTGATTCAAGAGCAGTCAGCGCTGGTGCCTTGCAGGCTGCTCCTGCATCTCCTGAGAAGAGTCTGGCAGCTGGCATTTGCTCTTGGGGACAGGGTTGCAGGGCTCCAGGATCAGCTGCAGCAGCCGTGCCTGGGAGTGGGGTCACACACAGCTCAGTGCCCACCCCACAGGCAGACAGCTCCACGGCCACACACAGAACACCGCTGCCCCAGACCAGCATCCGCAGGGAGCACAGCACAGCTTCTCCATGGAAAGGTTCACAGATGAGTTAAGTGGACGAGGTGCTGCAGGCAGCCTCTGTTTGTCCCACGGTGGCCCTACAGCACTGCACGAGGGGTCCAGCAGCACAGAGGCCCGTGTTGCACGCTCTGCTCATGAGCCCATTTGTAAATCCCGTCTTCAGGGGGGTGATATCCCAGCACCTGACGAAGGATCCTTGGCCCAGCTGATGCCAGTCGCTTCCATCCTCTGCTGGCTCACACAGAGAGGTGTAGGGCAGCCAGCAGCATTCCTGGGAGCCTGGAAAAGGCCAAGTGTCAGTGCTGTTGCAAGAGCGGGGCTCCGTGCTTCCCGCTGCCCCTGCGCCCTCAGTCGGTACCTCCCCCCCACCCTGCCTTGGGGTGCCCCACTGCAGTGCCCGGCCCCACTGGTCCTGCAGGAGGGAGGCTGGCAGAGCTCTGTCAGCAGGAGCTGCTGGCTCTCCAGCCCCTGCCACCAGTCCCATGTTCCCGGTGCCTCACTTCTCTGCCAATAAGCTTGGAGAAAAGCAGCTGTTCAAGGGCTCATCACCTGGATGACTTTAAAGCAAACTTGTTTGTTTTTTTTTTAATAGAAAGGCCTCTGGAGTAAGCTTCAAGCCACTCATAAGGTGGTGAGGATGAAAACATGAGAGCATTCGGTGAGAGGGAATTCAATAAGGGTGAGGGATAGGCATGCAGCACCCATACCTCCCTCCACCAACACCCTGAGCTTCCACCAGAGCTCCACAACACCCACCAGGCACAAAACATGCTCATCTTCACTGGTTGGAGGAGTTAATCTCTTGCCATCTGTTACTCTGAATAGCAGAGGGAAAGTAGATGGACAGAAAGGTGGGTCAGTCCTGGATCACACGTGTGAGGCACGAGGTATAGCTATCTGCTTCCCAGTGACAGGCATTGAGCAGCTGCCTGGACCATGCCCTGCACAGCCCCCTGCAGGACACCAAACAGCCCCAGCAGCACAGAGAAGGGGCAGCCAGCAAATATCCCCATAGCCCTTCCTTGCCCTTGCCATTTCCCTCCTGTGACTGCACCTACAATGCAAGTCGGTTCCCTATAGCATCCAAGAACTGTCAGTTCTGCAGTTCCCTGTCCAGGCAAACACTGAGAAGCACAGGGCTGCTGACCCGAAGAATGCCAAGCATCATTCAGAGCTGCCTACTCCTGGTTTGTGCACAGCATGTCAGGCAATGTATACAAACACATTTGCATACAAGGGCTCACTCATATTTCATGCACACAGCTAAGAGTCCTCACGCCATCGCTCCTTTCTATCCATGTTTGTGCCTCATTTGGGTCTACACGTGCCAGGTTCCCCTCAACATACACATGCCACATTCCACGCACACATGCACATATCAGCTCTCACACGTGCAAGCCCTGTGCACTTCATGCTCCAAGAAGCACAGAGTCCCCAGTGCATTTTTTTTGTTAGGAGCCACGGTGCAGAAGCGCTAACATTCCTGCCAGGCTGCTTGTTATTCAGACATATTCACAGTGGCCCCGTGAGGTCGCCAGCGATGGCAAAGCTCCCTCTCGCAGCCGTTGCCCCACGAGGACAGGTTATTCCTGCCAACGTAAAGGGCAGGAATCCCTATAAACAAACACCACGAAGCATTTTACAAGGCAGACTGCATCTAGGGGAGTAGGATGATCTGTGGATGGGTGATGGGCTGACTCGTTCCCTCCCACTGTTACGAGTCTGGCAGCACAAAGCGACTGCTCCCTTCGTGGGCCAAACACAGATGTGAAGGAGCTGCCTCACCTGCAGCAGGCTTCAAGAGCAGAGATTCACCAAGTAACAGGATGCCTACAAATCTGTTTTTATCATTCCTGCGTGGATACAGAGAAGATACAAATAACAGGACACAGAGCTTCACTGTCACAAACAGCATCTCTCCAATTTCTCATATCTGGGAAATCTGTAGTTATTTTTGAGTGAGCTCCCCCGACAGTGAGAGATGTCAGCAGAATGAAGTTGTGCCAGAGTGAGAGCTTTGGGTCAGCACCCGGTACATGCAATATGCATGGGAAGAACACCCAACCCAGCATCTCTGCTCTTGCTACTCCCAGGTAATGCCTCCAGACATGCTCAGAATCCTCCTACTAATGGATTGTACCTGATCAACATCGCTGCTAGAAGCAGAACTGTGTATGTACGTGTTCTCAAGGACTGCCACACAAGCAGAGCATTAGGGAGAGGCCATCCCCAGCTGCAGCCATCTCCCCCTGTGCCCTGAGGCCATCCAGGCTGCACTGGATTCATAATGCCCTGCAGAAGCCTTACTAGGCAGCAATAGCACTACAGACATAACAGTTCTGAAGAACTCCTCAGCCACTAAATCCAAAACAGCATCCACAAAGCAGTAAAAGAACAAGCTAAATGCACATACTGTAGCAAGGCAGATTATGCAAGGGTAGGAGATGCTGCAGTGGGCCAGCATGGCTCCAGCAGAGCTGGCCCACAGTTCCCAAGGCAACTTGCTCAGCCCTGTTGCATCTGAGCACTCCATAGAGCAGCTCTGGCACGGCAGGGAGAGTCCTGCTGGGCGCGCATGGGCTGGGCTGCCGTTGCTGTGGGAACCACAACACTGTGCTCTGAGTCCCGGCCATTACGCTGTGTTTTACATTTAACAGAATTCTCATCTTGCATCTATGCTTGAACTAATGTGGTTTGCTACTGGCTACCTCACACTGACAAAGTTCAGCTCCATTCGGCTGAGCGATCTGCAGGCTGTGCGTGGTGGCAGAGCACGTCCCAGTCCCAATGCACCTCCCAGACACTCAGATCCCAGATTCTATTCATCCCACTGCGAGCTCCAGACCTTAGGGCAGGGAGGAGCTGGCACAGCTTCCCAGAGAAGCCCTGGATGGAATGCGCCATCCCTGGAGCATTCAAGGCCAGGTTGGGTGGGGTCCTGGGCAGCCTGATGTGGTGGGGGGCAACCAGCTCACGGCAGGGATTGAAACTGTGTGATCTTCAAGGTCCTATTCAACCTAAGCCATTCTGTGATCCTATGATCTTGGTACCCAGAGCCACCTAAGAATACATACCCAGAGACATATCTCTGGTAAGGTTCATTGCCACAGACAAGATTTTTGCGTTCTACCCAAAAATTTTCATCTGTTCCTCTTCTCTCACAGCTCCAGGCCATGCCTAGGGCCAGCATTGTGTCAGTGCACATTTTTCCTTCTGGCTATCACACCACAGAGCTCTTCCAGGGGCAAAGTACCTGAGAGCCCCACGTTACAGAGTCATAGAATGGGTTGAGTTGAAAAGAATCCTTAAAGGGCATCTGGTCCAACCCCCTGCAGTTATCAGGGACACCCCTCCAGGCTGAGTGCGTGCAGGGACAGGGCATCCATCTCATCTCTGAACCTGTACCACTGCCTCACAGCCCTCATTGTAAAAATCTTCTTCCTTATATCCAAAGGTTGCCTCTTTCAGTTTGAAACCATTTCTCTTGTCTTATCACACAGGCCCTGCTCAAGAGTCTGTCCCCTCCCTCATAGCCTCTATAGATACCTACAGGCTGCTCTCAGCTCTCCCTACAGCCCTCTTCCCTCCAGGCTGCACAGCCCCAGCTCTCAGCCTGTGCTTGTAAGGAAGGTGTGCCATCCCTTGTCCCATGCTCATGTCTGTACCACAGCAGAATTTGAGGTACCCCACAGCAACACAGAAGGTCCCACGCACAGGGACCATGACCAGCACAGCATTTATTTCCCCGCATCACTGATGAGCATCCAGCCACAAAGCTGGAGGTGCCACTCCTTCCTGCCACAAACAGCAAAGTGGGAGCTGCTACTTTCTGCAACCACTCAGTCCCAGCACAGCACCCCAAGCAGCCTGCAGCTGCACAGCATGCATGCTCTCACGTGGCTGTGTGCCCAGGTCCTGCTCTGACAGGCAGGCTCTCACACCACCCCAACGTGCCCCCTCTCCTACTGCTGCTCCATCATCCCCACTTCCCAAATATCAGCACAGCTCCCCTTCTCCTCCCTGCAAGAGCTTGCACCGTTTGTCGGTGTATATTTGGCACAGCCGTACTGTACATCATGTTGACAGTAGAAATTACATCCTGAGCTTATGTTTTACACTCTGCTCTGTCAGGACTCACCGCAGCCCAGTGATCAGGACAAATTGAATAGCATCCCGTCCGTGTCAATATTTATTTCATTTTACAAATGCAGCCTGGTGCAAGGGAAAGCAGGCAGGGGAGGGGAAGGCATGGGCAGACAACAACAGGCGGAGGCAGCACTGCTTGCTCCATCACAGCCCTGCAGCCGGGGAGCAGTGACATGCCAGTGCAGAGCATGCTGACCTGGCTAGCATCAGGTAAACACACAGGGAGCTCCAAGCACTGCCTTTGCCCACAACCACGTCAGAAGGACTGCACACCAGAACCGCTCCCGAGATGAGCCCTTATGATCAGCAGAAAACGCGGAGTTGACCATCAGCTACAAAGGATGCAACAAGGCAGGAAAGCCTCCCTTCCCCCAGCTCGCTGCCAGAGCAATGCGT